CTCCGCATATTTCTTAAATTTTCTGTGTTTCCAACAATTTGTTAATTTGATAGCTAGTTTCCGAAGATGGTGTTATTACTTTTTTGACAAAGGGGTTTTTATTTATTTATGAACAACAGATTATATTATTTTGACTTAATAATAACAAATAAAAACATGCATATATTTATATATCTTAAATTTACTGTTATATAAAATTTTATAACGGTTAGTAGATATATTATGTGTTATACTATTAATTCATTTTGAAGAAAATATTAGTAACCATTTGTATATGTTAGTCAATGGCTTTTTTTTTGGTCAACGAGCCAAATATTCAATGCTACCTATATAGGTTCAACATTCTCTCGACATACAAAATACAACGTGTCATTTCATGGGTGCACGACATGTAGTTCATTTTCATGAAATACTTGACTTAATAAAAAAAAATAAAAGGTTATTAGTTCTATAAAGAAATTTATCATAAAGTGATTTTAGGATAGATTTATTCCAGTTACAAAAAAAAATAAAAACAAATGATATATTTATTCATCAATCGATCTTCTTCTTAATTTGTTTTATTTTCTTTTTGCTTCTTTTTTGACTTTTCTCATACAATTTACTTTCTTCAATTTCTTTAATTCTTTTTCTTATTTTTTTCTGAAAAGAACAAAACCAACCAACCGTAACGGTTCTGATGTGACGAAATTCATACGTGACGAAATTCATACGAAACGATACGACGGCAGCACACTCCGAGATTCGTTATAACCCTTGGAGTTCTATTGTCGGCTAATCTAATTAGGGGAAGAATATAATGAACCCTAGAATCGTATGTTTATCATATTCAAAGAAGGTGAAAGTGACAATGGGGCCACACTTTTGATATTTTCTTTTATCAGATCAAAATAGTAGGCGACCCAAACCCATTCAATTTAATTTTGGAAGACCCGATAAAAATACAAAAATCAACAAAATCTGAGAATCAGACACGTGACAAACTTTCATTTCCCTGTTTGATGAGGTGACAACCTCAAAATATAGAAAAATCTCATCTACTTTATATATATAACATATAATCTAATATTATTAATGTACAACTTGTTTTAATTACGTAATAAAATATAAATATCATGATTTATTAAGGATATAAACAATATTAAACGATCTAACTTTTAACGTGAGTGTTTGGATGTGAAAAAATCACCTGGCAAAAAATAATATAGATATATATATTTATAAAATTTAGAAATTCAGGAAAATCCTTAGAAAAGTTTAGGAAAATTGTAAATATATTTAAGAATGTCTTACTAAATATACATATAATTCAAATTCAGTAAGATATTCATAAATATATATTCATAAATGTATTCTTGAATACACATTTAAGAATTTATTTTTACATACACATTTATGAAGATTTTTCTAAACTTTATGAAGATATTATACATATTTATCAATATCTTCCTAAATGTTAGGAATATATTATACTTATACAGGAAATTCTTCCTAAACCCAAATTAATAAAGATATTATAGACATTCAGGAAGATATCATATACATTTAGGAAAATATTTCTAAATTATTTAATAAAATCCATTTCCAAAAAAGTGAAATCTGTTTTGATCCATTTAACGTTTGATAGTTTGTTTAGGAATAAAAACTTGTTGTGAGACTATTTGAGCACATTCTCTAAAGTATACTGTGGAATAATTAATTAAATGACAGTATATTTTGGTTGGATTAAATTTTATTAAAACCCATGGAAAAAAATAAGAGAAAATCAATACTAGCAAACTATACCTCATATATTTTCATATTTTCCAGCTAGTAAAATACATGATAAGAATACAATTCAAATAGTTAGCCGATTCTATTTATGTCAACCAGACAAAAATCTAACCAAACGAACATATCAAACAACAATAAAACACAAACAGAAACAAAAAAAATGTACTATATATAGAGGCAAAAACTCAATATATAAACGTCTTCCTCTCTATCACCAATCTACACATCTCATACAACAAACACAAGTCCTAGAGTTCTGTTTTGAACAAAAAAAAAACTTGTGAGAGAAAAATGGCGGGAAAGGTGTACATGGTCATGGCATTGATAATGATGGGGTTTGTTTTACAAGCATGCAATGGAATGAAACCTAATGTTGATGATGGTGAGGATAGCAAGCCAACACAAGACTCAAGATTCTTTTGCTTCAGAAACTGTTCCATTAGGTGTGGCAAACAAAACAAGCCTTGTTATGAAGATTGTTTGCCAAAATGTGGTCTCCCAAGACGACTTGCTAAACCAACAACACCTTCATCACCTTCCTCCACCGTTTGATCTTTCTCACTTCTATTTGTGATTTGTGTTTTAGTTCTATATATCTGTATTTGTTGGACAAGTCTATTCAAACTTTAAAAAAAAAATTATGACATTCTGTCAAAACACATGTTATCACGACTCCTAACCACTTAATCATACAGAACTCAGAAACATGAAACCTGATCCTAATAACCTAAAAATACAAAGATCCACCAGTTTGCCGTGTTTCTGAAGCAATCTCTGAAACTGAGGAAAACCTTCTCCCTTATATTATCTGCCTTGAGTCTGAAGAAATCTTTGCCGTGTTTCTGAAGCGCTTGAGTCTTGTAGCCACTTGAAGAAACTTGATCTCCGTGAAAACATGTTTGGATTCGAAGGTGGAGTTGCTCTGGCCAAGACTTTTTCAGTGCTGACTGAGTTAACTGAGATCTATATGAGTTACCTGAACTTGGAGGATGAGGGAACAGATGCACTCTCTGAAGCTCTAGTTAGGAAAATTGTATACATATTTAAGAATATCTTACTAAATATACATATAATTCAAAATTCACTAAGATATTCATAAATATATTTTCATGAATGTCTTCTTGAATACACATTTAAGAATGTATTTCTACATACACATCTATGAAGATTTTTCCAAATTTTATGAGAATATCATACATATTTATCAATATCTTCCTAAATTTTAGGAATGTATTATGCTTATTAGGAAAGTCTTCCTAGACTCAAATTCGTAAAGATATTATACCCATTCAGAAATATATCATATATATTTAAGAAGATGTTTATAAATTATTTAATAAATACTATTTCAAATAAAAAATAAAAAACATTTGAGAAGAATTTGAATTTTTTTTCTTGAACATTTTTCTAATAAGAACATAATTTTAATTTGTTTTTTATGAAACCTATTTTTATTATTTTAACCTTTGATAGCTTGTTTAGGAATAAAAACTTGTTTTGAGACTATTTAAGCTCATTCTCTAAAGTGTACTGTGGAATCTCCTATATATTAAAGATAAGCATTACAACATTTTACCTATAACATATGTCATCACTAAAATGTTTCTCAAAGTTCTTAGAGATAAATATTGATCCATGTAAATACATAATATATTTTTTATTAAACTAACCATAATACCATTATTAATGTTTTTCATTATTTCCTTGAATAAAAGATGTAAAATATATATATGATAATTAACAATTTGAATAAGAAATATTTGATAAAAATTTATGTAGCCTCTATTATTTTGTTAAATTTATATTGAGAAAATAAATTAAATAATCACATTAACTATATCATAAAAATGAGATTTTTTCGTATATGCTATATTATTAATTTTGTAAAACGACTATAAATTAATATAAGCTTTAAAAATTTCGCAAAGAATATTTTTTATTAATAGTTATTTTTTTATAACAAGATACAAAGGCTTATAAAATCAATGAATAACAAATATCTTTTAATAGTTTTTAATGACATTAAATTAAACTATATACCATCTAAAATACATAACGGTTTAATTGAAAATTTTAATTGAACAAATATTTTGAACTTAATATTTTACCTCATATATTTTCATACATATTTTCCAGCCACTAAAGTACATCATGACAACAAAAATGAAATAACAAGAATACAGTTCAAACAATAGTTAGCCAATTCTATTTATGTCATTTAGCAAACAAAAAAAAATTCTATTTATGTCATTTAGCAAAAAAAAAAAATCTATTTATGTCAAACCAGACAGAAATCTAACCAAACTTACATATCAAACAACAAAAACCACAAACAGAAACAACAAAATGTACTATACATAGAGGCAAAAACTCAATATATAAACATCTTCCTTTCTATCACCAATCTACACATCTCATACAATAAACACAAGTCCTAAAGCTTTTGTTTTGAACAAAAGAAACTTGTAAGAGAAAAATGGCAGGAAAGGTGTACATGATCATGGCATTGATAATGATGGGGTTTGTTTTACAAGCATGCAATGGAATGAAACCTAATGTTGATGATGGTGAGGATAGCAAGCCAACACAAGACTCAAGATTCTTTTGCTTCACAAACTGTTCCATTAGATGTGGCAAACAAAACAAGCCTTGTTATGAAGAGTGTTTGCCAAAATGTGGTCTCCCAAAACGACTTGCTAAACCAACAACATCTTCATCACCTTCCTCCACCGTTTGATCTTTATCATTTCTATTTGTGATTTGTGTCTAAGTTCTATATAAGATGTCTTCTATATTTGTTTTCAAGAAGTAAAATTTTGAGAATTATGAAAATCTTTGATTATATATCTGTATTTGTGGTACAAGTCTATTCAAACTTAAAATAGACTCCTAACCACTTAATCATACAAAACTCAGAGGCATGAAACCTGATCACTATAATAACCTAAAAATACAAAGATCAATCAGCTTTGCCGTGTTTCTGAAGCAATCTCTGAAACTGAGGAAAACCTTCTCCCTTGCTTATTTCTTGCCTGTGTTTTTTTTCTGCACTATTCTTGTAGTTAACCCTTGTCTGAAACATACATCCTCAGTGATTCCACTATATACCGTTTGAAACAAACGGTTGAAGCAAGAACTATAGGATATGTATCAAGAACACCAAAAAGACAATGGATCTCTCTCTCTCTCTCTCTCAAAAAGAGCAGAAACCATTAATTAAGAACACTTTAAAACCCTCTCTTGTCAGGACAATCTGCTGCCCTGTGTCCTGAACTTCCACAAGTGAAGCAAGCACCTCCAAAACTCCTAATTTACATAACATCAATCAATCAGTTGAATACGGCAAGTGTGTAGATTTTAACAAAGACTTGTTTGAAGCTCTAACAAAAAAAAAACTAACCTCTCCCGGGAAGGAGCTCTGCTGCTTGATGATGATCTTCTGTCACTACCAATCAACCAATCATCAGAACTTCCTCTGGAACCACCACCACGTGCCCAGCTACTTCCTCCACCACCACTGCTTCTACCTCTTCTGTTATCATCGCCTCCCCAACTATCACGTCCTCGTGAAGAGCCTCCTCTACCTCCAAATCTTGACCCTCTAGAACCTCCTCCTCCTCTAGGCATCCTGTCTCTGCTAGAGAACCGACCATAGTTATCACTAGACGGTCCATCGTCTTGCAACGCAGGCAACTAACAATCAAAACCCATAAGAGTTGTTAGTAAAAAAGAGTCTTACTGTGAATATGTTATGTTGTATAAAATACCTTTGTAATCATGGATACACTGTTTCCTTCTGGCAATTCTTTCTCTAGTAGATCTTTGGCTATGTCCTCTGGTAGATCAAAAACAGCTCCTTGCAACTGATATATATTAGCAGAAACAGAGATTTCTAATAAGACTATAGTTTTGAAAAAAAACTGATGATTGAAATGATACTAACCCTTTCATCTGCAATCAAGAAGATCTTTCCAACTTCATCTGCAGCTGGACCGTATACGTCTGAAAGAAAACCAGTGACAGATCTCGCAGACAAGAAACCTCTAGAGTTTGTTGGATCTCTTATCAACTGCAAAGTCACCCATCCCTGCAATAAAAAACCTTAAATTCAACACATGATTGAAGTTTATAGGACTCTCAAGAAGCACTCTAAAATAAAAATGCCCTCTCATTTGTTTTCATGAATGAGAATTAAACCTGTTCATGACTGAGGAGAGATCTAGATGAAGGTGGCTGAGAGAAACCACTGAGGTGAGCTAGAGCTGCAGCTAAAGCATCTGTTCCTTTCTCCTCAAAAAGTTTCTGAGCAGTTGCTGAGAAAAACTTTATAGACTCAGGGTGAACACCGTCTAAAGTAGCCACCACTTGGTCTGCTGAAGCTTCCAACACCTCTCCAACAGTTGGTGGGCTAATAAACTCAAATCTGCAGCCTACATCACGCTCCAAAGACCTCACTGTTCTCTTTTGACTACTAGAGTGCATGAGAATAGCTGAACCTTCTTTCCCTGCACGCCCAGTACGACCAGAACGGTGCACAAAAGTCTCTGGATCATTAGGAAGTTCATAGTGGATAACCTGTAGAAAGAAAACGTCAGAACAAAGAGGATATACAATATGTACTAAAGCTTTGAAAACTTACTAGATCAACGTTGGGGATGTCAAGTCCACGAGATGCAACATCAGTGGCAACTAGGACTGTGAACTTCCCTTGGCGAAAACCGTTGAGTGTTCTCTCTCTTTGATGCTGAGAGATATCTCCATGAAGTGCTTCAGAAGCTATACTGTTTGATAACGCTAGAGAGACCTCGTCTGCTTCTCTTTTTGTTTGTGTAAACACAATGGTCTTTCCACCTTTTGCATACACCTTCAAGTTTTTTTAAAATATAAAAGATAAATCTAAAGCTAAAGTTTAAGGATATAGCAAATTAGCAGATGGATCATACTGTTATAAGGTCACTTAGAATAGTGCGTTTTGAGGTTGATGTAGCTGAGATTGCATAGAGTTTGATTCCCTCTGCTAGCTTCTCATCTTGGTCCCCAACCTACAAATCAAGTAAAAGAAACAAGAAGATAGAATTAAGCAATGTTCCAAAAAAAAAAAGTTTACTAGGCATTTTGTAGAGGACTAGCAACTAGGCGGATATTCGGGACTAGACGTTAACGAATTATTGATTTATTTTATATATATTTTACATTTATATAAAGATATTTTGGCTTTAATAATGAGAAGGAAAAAAGAGGCAAGATAAAGAAAAAAAAAAGCTTTTACCAGATCAATATTCAAGGGATTGTCAAGATACTTCCTAGCCAACTTCTTAACCCAAGTAGGCATAGTAGCTGAGAAAAGCATGCTTTGTCTCTTCTGTGGGAGATTCTCAAGAATCGATTCAACAGCCTCCTCAAACCCAACAGCAAGCATCTGGTCAGCTTCATCAAGCACCAAGTATTCAACTTCACCTAACTTGAGGCTCCTTCCTTCTATCAAGTCAATGATTCTTCCAGGAGTTCCAACAACAACATCAACGCCACGGGTCAGAGCACTCTGCTGAATGGTGTAAGAGACACCACCGTATACACAAACAGTGCTTAAATATGGCGCAGACTCCTTGATTTCTTTTTCCACTTGTTTAGCCAGTTCTCGTGTAGGTGCAAGGACAAGGAACTTAGGAAGACGACCAGACTTCCTACTCATAAAGACAAAACAAAACATTTAGAGAACCAAACATAAATGTCAGTGTAAACCAATGTTCAAGAAATGGCTAAGCAAACGTTTTGTAGAGGAATAGCGATTATGCCTATTACTTGGAGCCTAACAAGTAACTGATTTACTTTGTATATTCAATATTTTAGTTTTTGGGTATAATTATAAAATTATTTTGAGGAATTATCAAAATTATATATACAAAACAAAAGAAACTAGACGAATTTGTGCATTTGTAATAACATATTACTTAATTTAACAAATTTAGACTATTTTAGATCGATTTAAACCAATATTATAACTTACTTTAGCAAATTTAGACTATTTTAGATCGATTTAAACTAATTTAAACTGTTTTGATTTTAGAATAGTTTAAACCAATTTGACTAGTATAAATATGAATTTAAAAAAAAAAAAAAAAAAAAAAAA